TCACAATATGTATCATTACCTACTATCAAATAACTAATAAAAGTTTCAGCTGATGGCATTGTATCAATAAAAAAAAATTAAGAATCCCTGCTAGGTGTTTTTAGTAGAAATTGATCCAATCACTTCCTCTCTTACTCACCTTTTTTGAATGAGTTCTGAACAACAAATTCAGTGATTATATTACTATAATGTAATAATATATAATAATATATGTAAAACTAACTGTTACAATTAACTCTTATTAATTTTTGTTACTTCTGATAACAATTTGAAAACTCAAATTATAGCCTAAGTAATTGTTGACAATGAAATATGATTTTTATATGAGTAGGTTTTAAAATATATTAAGAATGTAACTGGTTTAGTACCAAAAGTTTTTGTAACTGATGATGATCCAGCAGTTAATAGTGTAGTCATAACTCAATTTTCTGCTATATTTCACATACACTGTATTTAACACATAAGCCAAAACTTACCAAAAAATCTTAAGGAAGTATTGGGTTCTAATTTTACTAATTTTATAAAGGACTTTTATACAGTGAGAAATAGTATAACAAAAGAAAAGTTTAATAAAAAGTAGATAATTAAATTCCTATTATATGTGAGAATATATTAAAAGTAATTTAATAAATAAATTACACACTAATAGCATTCTGAGACTTTAAGCCAAAGGTTTTTTTTTAAAAAAAAAGAATAATTTAATTATTTTATTTATTTAAAGGTGAGAAAAGTTGTTACAAAACTATTCACAAGCTAAAAATTATTTGATAAGGTCTTTGGGATCTAATACTCAATTCTGGGTATGTGCATTTACCAATAGATATTTTACTGCTGAAGTATAGTCAATTTCCTGTAATAAGAGCAAAAATTCAATACTAAAACACCTTTTTGGTACTTCAAATCTTTTACTATGTGAATTGTTTAATACTTTAGAAGAAAGGTATCAAGAAGAGTACGATTATTGTGAGTTTGTAAACTAGAAGCAAACAATATCACAAGCAGGATCAAAAAATATATCTAAGTCTATTTTTGAGCCTGTCATAAGATAGCTTAATAAGTTTGTAATACCAAATATAATAAAGAAGCAGGAGAAGCAAATGAATTTAAGCCTTTATTACTATACTGTGGAAGTTGATTATAAAGTTGTACTTTTTAAAGAAAAGATAAGATTTTTATAATTTATGATTAATGATAGGTGCTGAAACCCTAAACTATAAGTTTATATTAGAGTTTAGACTATGATTTTTTATGAATTAGGCTTTTAACCTAAACTTGTATTTTAGAGTTTTAGTACTTACCTTCTTTATGATATTTTTTTTGCTTAATTCTATAAAAAGGTCTTTTATTTTGTTATTTTTTAGAATATTGATGAATTAGATTAGTGTATTGATAACTTATTTAACTGTCTGCAAATATGACTTAGTATATTTGTAAATGATTTTTCAACAGTTCTTGAAGTATAAGAAGTTTTGTATTTAGCAAGTTCTAGAACTTCTCATGTTATATATCTTTTGAATGATAGTACTTTTCTTTGCATATGTATAATTATTAAGTCTTATAGTTATCCATGTTGTCATTTTTATTATGTATAACTTTTACTCCTATTGCAAGGTTTCATATTAGTCTAGTAAACTGGTATTAGTACAAAGATATATTGCAAAAAGTTAATATGTTAGATAATGAATTTGTAGTTGTATCTTTAGATACATTATTATCAACATCAAAAACACCTTCTTTGCTAACATGATTCTTATATTTATCTGAATATGATATCAGTAGAACTAAAAAGTTTTCAAACAATATTATTTCAGGACAATAGTATAAAGAAATATTTAAAGTTATTTAAAAAAAAATGTAAATTTGGTGAGCTTTGAGAATTAGGAAGAAAGATAATAGTAGATGCAATTGAGGATAGCAACAAAGTATTTATAATGAACTTCTCAGAGTTTTTTCATCAATTCAGATAAGAATGACTAATAAATATAGTGTAGAATATGATTATAATAGTGATATTATCAAAAATTCTATCAAGTGTAGGCCAAAAGGTCATCTTACTAAATCAGATTCAAAAAGAATTAAGAGTATTATAGAAGACTCTAATACTAAGACTCAATACAAGTGCAAGGTATATAAACAAAAAGGTCATAATAGTAAAATCTGTAGTAAAAAGAAATTATTAAACATTAATATTGGTCAAGAAATTGATAAAATTAAAAAATAAGTTTATTTAATTTATATAGCATTTACTAAATTTCCTTCCAAGTTTCTATTTTCTGTACTGATTCATATATTATTTTTTTAAAAATGTGATAAGTAATATTATACTAAATTTTAGCAAGAATTTTTTGTTAGTATATAAAAATAAAGAATTTTTAAAAAAAAGTTTTTTTAATTTTTATATTACACCTAATTATATACCTAATTGATTAGAATTAGAAACTTAGAAAAGAAATTAGTAATTTATTTATATATATAAATACAAATAATACATCTACAGTATCTATATTACATTGTAGTAATTTATATAATCAATGTAAGCAATAAAAATTAGAAAGTAATTCTGTTCTTAATATATCTAAACTTATTATTAATAATGATTATTAATATAGATTCTGAAGATAGCAATGATGAAGAATTATCAAATATGATTATAAGTTATGAAAATGTTAAAGTATCAGATATAGTAAAACTAGGTATAGATTATTAAGGAACTAATATGAGATCTGGTCTAACAGAAGGTGATTTTCTAGTTTTTGATAACTAATAGTTAGTAATCAAAACCTAGCTAATCACTATCATTATCTTAATTTAGACCAGACCTTATTTTGGTTTACATAGTTATTTGTAATTAAATATTAGTAGATTATCACAATATCTATTTACTAATATGCATAATTTATATTTTTGATAGGATCAAGTAATATTATAGTACTAGTTTCACTACTCATATGACAAACTGACATTAAAAATTATAGAAATACACAAAGATAATGTAGAATTTGCAGTAAAAAAGGTCATAATACCTGCACATACCCAAATAGAAATGACTATTCAGATTAGTTAAAATAAATAATAGCTTAGAATTTGATGCTTTATGTTTACTTATTTTATTATTTTTTTTAATATGATTATATAGAATTGTGTATTATAGATAATTAATATCATATCTGCTTAAATATAATGCAAATTAAGATCAGCATCCAAATGTTAAGGTTTGATATTTGGATTTTGTAACCTCTAATATAACTGATTTGAAGAATGTAAATACAAATAGTTTTTTATTTTAAGTTCTTGAATAAGATTCTGTAGTGCTTAATATTAATAAACATTATTATATAGTTAAAACAAGCTATCTAAATTAATTAAAAAATGATGTTTTATATAAATCATACTTTCATGTTTTTTTTTTTTTTTTTTTTTTTTTTTTTTTTTTTTTATTGATACAATGCCATCAGCTGAAACTTTTATTAGTTATT